TTTCGTTATATAAAAATACAAGGCAGTGACTGCATCTTGTAGCTACTTGTACATTATAGCTTATTAAAACCTAACATTTACTCCACTGTTTTTAAAAATTAGTTATAGAAAAAAATTCGTTAAAAAAGATGTTTTTTTTTCACTCTCTTCTAACTGATTAAAAGAAAGGTTATTTAAAATATCTATGAAAATAAATAGCAACGCGCATCAGACTAGTCGGTGCGAGAATGGGCAAGGCTGAGCGTGGGCAGTGGGTCATTATCCTGAAATTTCAGCTTCCTAGACCCCGTGGTTCCCAATATAATAATTTACCCGTCAAAAATTTTCACGGGGCCGTACTTGTTACCTGCGGGCAGGGGAAAGCTGAATCCAAATTTTCTGGGTAGTACATGGGCAGGGGGCATGCTCACAAAATTTCAACCTTCTTACTTCCGTGGTTCCCGAGATACTGATTTTACCCGAAAAACTTTTACGAGGCCGTGCGTTTTACCCGCGGGTACGGGAAGGCTGAATTTAAATTTGCCATGTCACCCATTGGCGGGGAGCACTATACTAAAATTTCAGCCGGCTAGCTTTTGTGGTTTCCAAGTTGAAAGTGCGGCATAAAATGCGGGACACACAAATACACACACACAAACACATACACAGACAACCCCGTGACAATATGCGTCTTGTACTGCTGTTACACAGCACAAAACGCATAAAAAGGAAAAAGATTAAGATAAAAATCAAATTATCCGCGAAAATATTGTTGAAGATAAAAATGCTTTTTCAGAAAAGCATGTTTTTTTTTCATAAAAGTCTGTTAAAGATAATTTCTGTTCGAGATTTTTAAAGTTTTTTTTTTTTAGAAAAACACCAAGTTTTGGATCACCACATGCTTCCGATAAGCTACTGCAAATGTCACCAGCTGCAAGGCGTCTTGCAACACATGGACTTGGAATCCGATTGAGCTCAGATAAGGAGTTGAAAGCCAGCTATACACCCTCACCGTCAAGGTACCGATTTCACTTTTTGATTTAAATTCGGAAATTTAAGGGATAAAATTAATTTCAGTTTTTTGGAATAAAAAGGCTGTTAGATTTGTGAATGTGGGTGTTACGCAGAATTTACTTAGCCATGGCGCGTTGATTGGTTCCGGGATTCTAAAGTCTAAGTCAAAACCCTCTCCACAAATGCTGTTTATGAGTGATGGAGGCAGTGTGAAGTAGCCTCCGAGTGGTAACGAGCTCAGCGGCCAGCGGCAACCGCTTGTTGGTTAAACTGTCGATGACTGCTGTTTCGGGGCTTACCTACAGCTAAGTAGATTGTAGCAATCAGGTTGACCCTAAAAGCCTAAGTAGCGAAGGCGCGGCGGAATACAGCACAAAAGAACAGTATGAGAAAAGAGGGCAAGAGTGAGATAAGACGCTTCGGTCCATTAAGTCATATATGTCTTAACTCAACACCGCGCAACAGAACATCGTCAGTATGACGATCGCAGTGCTTGATGGAAAAGGAAGAGAAAAGAGAAAGACGAAAGGAAAGAAAAGGAAACGCTGTGATTGGAGGTTAGCGAGAATGAGAATGGGGTGAAGAGGGAAAGGAAGAGGACGGAGGATTTAAGGTTTAAAAAAGCATTTAAAAAAAAGCTAAACTGATGGCTGTTTTTTCCTGGAATTTTAAACATTTTTCTATTTCAGGACACCTCGTTCGATGCGTTTCACACACACTCCAGGCTCATCACGAATTGTGGTAAAAACTCCAAAAAGAAGTGCCGTGGAAGGTGCAGTTACACCAGCAGCAGCGGAAACGAGCAGCTCCACCTCCATAACCGATAATTTGCTGAGTTTTGGCCAGGCGAAAATCGCCCAAAAAACTCGTCCATCAGCTTCTGATTTCTTTTAAAATAATAGTGCTTGTTTGTACAGAAATTCTGTTTTGGTGATTCCAGTAAATGTTTGTTTCTAAGCAATCGCTTTGTCTGACATCGCTACGTATCCTGCGTCACGTATCTTGTCCGAAAAACTGCTGTGCCAGTTCTAAATTATTTCTTGTGCGGTTGATTTTCCCGCATTTGGTATTTGAATTTTTGGTCAAATGTTGCATTTTACAGCAATTTTCGGGCAATTTTTCGAGATTTTTTGGCCAGTATTGTTCTCCTGATGGTCGGCTGCCTGGAAATCCTGATGGTTTTATTGAGTGGTGCGGTTAAGAAAGAATTCACCGAATGAACTTCCCGAAGAACTGGCGCACGTAGAAGCATCTGGCACAGTGGCAAACTTCGTGTGGTTTTGCGTCTTTGATGCCAGAATTTGATGTCAGTTGCTCGGGCAATCTCTTTTGGCACCGCTAGAAACAACGGTGAAATTCCCTCCAAGGTTAGTTTTCTCTGGATTTTTGTTAGAATTTGCTGGTGAACAGCATTTTTGGTTTCCATGGCTTTCGAAGTGGTTCTGGAGTGCTGTCATCGAGTGAGTTCTGCTAGACAACTTGAGGCAAGGGAAGCTTGCATGCTAGGGTCATCACGATGCAAAGCTTTTTCGGACGCAACACCCAGGAAGCCCCAAAGTGCAAGGATGGAAA